TGCAAGTAGAAAAATAGGTAAAGATAAAGGTTCCCCTCACACATATGTGCTAGTTGTTTCTGACTCTAGGGGGTGGTGCTCATCTCCATTTCAAAGCCGAAGAGCCATCGCTATCCGAAGACATCTCCGTGGTCATGTGGCTGGCATGACTAAATGCTGAAGGTGCACAGAGCACTGTTACTTTCCCACCAAGGTGGTCCCTATTTTTCTACTTGCATTTTTACATGCTTTCAAACTGCTAGGTTTGCAGAAGCTGGGACAAGTAACGGGAGCTCACTCTGTTACACAGCACTAGGGATTCAAACCGCTGAATTGCCGACCTTTCTAATCGACAAGTTCAGCGTCTTAGCCACTGAGCCAATCATCCCTCAAATGATTAACCCATTCCTTTATTATAAATCCTTGTTATGTAGTTCAGTATTAACAATTTAAACATAACTCTTCAATGGTCTACCCTCTCCCTCGCAACAGTTGGCAGCAATTACTATTTACAAAACAATACAGTAACATTCAGAATGTTTTTCTTCTAAATGCCAATGGTTATCTGATTGAAAACAGCATAACACCACTGCAGTTAAAAATAGTTATACTAGGTCACACCAGTTAAACACTTGAAATTATACACCAGACAAGGACAAGCAAATCAGAAATAAAACCTTTCCCAAGAGCATACCTTAGTATTGGACAGAGGCACTGGAGACCCACATAGACAGTGAGACATTAAGATATTGGTTAAAGTCATCCTTTTGTAATTTTCACTCCGTTTTAAAATGAACTGAGTAGAAAAGAGCACACCTTGTAACACAACTCACTGTTTAATATGGTCATCTCCATGACCTTGTACCTTTAAACTGGGGAAAGACGTGTCACTTTTATGTCCTCTTTTATGTGCTAATACATTATTGCCCTACTGTAAGCAATAAAACTTGGAGAACAATTGGAAAGATTACAACCAGCTATATTCTGACCAAATAACAGTAAAGGTACAGCTTGTTCTGCATTCTCTATGCAGAAGCCCAAATGAAGTCTGTTTATTAAGTTGCTTTAAATGTTTTATCTCATTTAAATTACTAACACAGTGCATTATTATCATTCCAAAAAGAGTTAGATTTAAAGCATAATATATTCTATTCAGAATAACAGAACATCAGAGTTGGAAGAGACCTTGGAGATCTTCTAGTCCAACCTCCTGTTCAGGCAGGAAACTGCATACTATTTCAGACAAATCCATATTCAATCTATACTGAACAATATTTCTGTCATTGTTGTTGGAAGTACAGTTCTCAGAATCTCCACAATGGCTGGAAACCTTAGCTGTTAAAACACATCTTGGTTGTCCATTGTATATAAGTACATGTTCAGACTAGTAGTGGGTTTCTGTTAGTTTTACTACCAGTTTGCAACGTGGTACGCAACGCTGCACCTGCATGCTCTATTCAATGTAAATTGTTCTTCACGCATGCGCAGAACAATTTATAGTGAACTGCGCATACGCAGTCACTAAAAAACAACATGACGATGACATCAGCAGCAGTGAGGGAACCGGTTCGGGGCGTGGCAAGCCTGGGTTGCTTCCGGTTCTGCGACCCAGACAAAAATACTACTACCGGTTCGGCTGAACCGGGCTGAACCGGGAGCAACCCACCTCTGGTTCACACAGACTATAACATTTCTTATCTTCAAATTAGAATTAAGCAATTCTGCTTCCCAAACTGCTCCCATTCTTTAGGTCAGGGCTCCCCAAACCCTAGTCTGTGGATTTGTGGCATGCCAGTAACCCGGCTTCACAAACAAGTGAAACCCCATTTGTGGGATGCAGACAACTCAAAACCATCTCCTCTCTGGTATGTAGAAAAACCTCACCACACAGACACTGTCCCTGGTGCCCCAAAAGTTGGGGGCTGCTGCTTTAGGCGTTCCAGAAGGGTTAAAACTTGACTTTTCTGGTTAGTTTGGTGCCCTGAGGAGGGCACTCACTGCTGGAGGTGGTTGATGGGATAAGAAGATC